TCCTCTTAGTCAGAGAAGGGGCACCTCGCAGGAGCCGTCGAATCATGGTCAATGCTGGATTTCCGACCTGGAAAGTTTGCTGTTCCGACGTGGCCATTTGCGGTCATGTTGAAATTATGGCCACGCAATCAACATGCTTGCTCCTGCGCATGGTCACGTCATGAGAAAAGGATCAAAAAGGGGTAACAAGACCTTTTGTTGCGGAGCTTGGAGAAGCCGTTAGAGTCAGGTCAAAGCCAAAGCTGTTTCTTCACAAGTTTCAGTTTGCATTACTGAGTCAGACATAAATACAGGCTGGGACTTCTGGTTTTGTTGCTTTCTGAAGGAGACTTGTGCGATCTACTTAGGATAGCTTAGGCTACTTTAGGCCTTAAGCCAAGGCTTGTTGGAAACATATGGGAGTTGATCGAAAACCCCGTGTAAGGAGTTTTATATAAAACAGCCTTTCAGATGTTGTTAGAACCATCCGCGAAAGATTCGCGATGAGGTTCGCGAAAGTATCTTTTTTTTTCCGCGAAAGATTTATCGAAGGTCATCGCTTTCATTGTTTTCCTTTCTACCGGACTGACAAAGAATAGAACCGCAAGGCAATCCTCCGGCAGAGCCAGTGGGCGGAAGTGTCCCCATATGTCACAGACTAACGAACTGAAGCCTCAACATTTCCGTGCCCAGCCCTGGCAGTGCGTAAAGGATTCTCCGATTCCTGTCCCCACTGTCACAGAAAGCACCAGTGAAATTTTGCGAAAGATCCGCGAAAGTTTCGCGAATGTGCCGCTAAAGTCTAGGTTCCCAGCTTGAGGCCCCCCAACATTCCTCAAGCTGCAGCACCCTGTGTTGGTAGCTGGCACGAGGATTGGGTTGAGTTGCGCCGGACTCCTGAGTAGCTGTGGAAACGTTCAACCATCTACTGCAGGGGTCATGCTGCAAGATGTCTCTCCCTATTTTGTGATACTATGACATGTTCCGGCTCATGTTAGCTAGACATGGTTGTAGGACCATGCTTCGCGATGAGGCCGCGAAAGATCCGCGAAAGATATCTTTTTTTCCGCGATGAATGGCCATTCCAGGATGGAAGAATATTGATCAACCACCATATGTTTCAGAAGAAAAGATGACACATCATTCACATTATCCCATACCTCATCACCATCTGCAGCCCGACATCCACAGCGAGAAATGCAACGTAGCAGGAGCAACGAACGAAGGGGGAGTTACGTGATATTCAGTGCGAGGTCATCCAACGAATCATTGAACCGAAACCCAAACTTCTCAGAAAAGTGTTTCCCTCAAAGGCCGTGTATAGATATAGATGTTTTTGGAAACATCGTTGACTCTCTTTACCTCAACTAAGAGATACGCATTCGCCAGCATCCGTTTGTGTAAAGAGATCAGGAGCCGAGTATTGTGGTGGTGTCTCCGAAGGCACAATGTTCAATGCAAGCTTAAACCATCCTAGTAGCTTCTTGCTACTAGTAACTAGTAGTAATGCCAGGAGCTACTAGTAGCGTCCTTGTTACTAGTAGCCATGCCCTTTGTTCCTAGTAGCTTCTTGTTCCTAGTAGTAAGGCCAGGAGCCCCCAGTAGCGTCCTTGCTCCTAGTAGCGATGCCCTTTGCTCCTGGTAGCTTCTTGTTCCGAGTAGTAAGGCCAGAAGCTCCTAGTAGCGTCCTTGCTCCTAGTAGTGATGTCCTTGCAACTTGCTACTAGTAGCTTCTTGCTACTAGTAGTATATAATTATATAATGCCAGGAGCGCCCCTAATAGCGTCATTGCAAGATTTTGATCAGACCTTAAATGCACATTGCTTGTTATCCAGGCTCATCCAGCGTCTGGCACTGCCACAGGTGAATTCCGCATGATGCCTTTGCTTCGAAGTCTTCTGTCAAAGTTCTCGTGAGCTGTATATTTCTTCCAAATTTATTTGGACGTAAAACCCCAAATCGAGGGTGAAGGAACTCGGTTTGAGAGGCTCTTGGGCTTACAATTACAGTACGTTTGGGTGTGTTCTTACAGTCTTACAGTATCAGCGCGCAGGCTCTGCGATCGCAAGGCGGGACGGGACAAGCGTCCTTGCGAAAGCAAGAGCCGATGCTGGTGGCAGATGCATTCGTGTATTCAAGACTGCAAGCTCAAAACAAGTGCCAAGGTGATTGGGAAAAGCATACATCAATTCGTGGTTGCTGACTGTACACATGCTTGACTTCCTTTCCATCAAATGACGCAGCAGAATGTCTGTTGTAAGGCCGCCACCCCGGCCATTCAGTGCTTCCTCGCTCGGCTCACGTGTCTCTCAGGAGTAGAGCGATATATCTCAAATTGAGATGCTCAGGTGTCAGGCAAGAGTTTAGACAGAACATGTCTACGATGCACATATCAATGTGATGTTACATGGGGCGATGCGTGTAAGTTTCCTGCTTTGAGATGCAAGGATTCTCGTGGAAGCCCTCACACTCATCCTGAGGCCGGAAACCAGCTTTTCCTTGAACAGGGATAGTCTGCGCCTGTTTGTGTGGTTTGATTGAGAACACATTTACATTTGTATCGTGCAGCGTGTTTCGGATATCTTCCCAAGTGTTCCGCTTTTTAAATTCAAGACTTGGTAGTCTCAAGGACCAAGAGAGAGTCGATTTTGCAGTTGTGCCCTGGCTTGGCTGCAATGCAGAGAGAGTTGAACACACACCGAAAACAACGGCTAGGCTAAACTATATATTATATATATGAGGGCCCATATACATATATTTATCATAAACTTTATATATATATAATATATATAGTTATATTTGGTGATGACATGTGACCACTTTGTG